GTCCGCCCACGATTCTGGCAGCCAAAAGCAAGCAAACCGCTCGAGACATCCTCGCAATCTGAGTCCCCTGGGATGCGAATGCCAGCGCCTGCACTCGACGAGTCTGGCCACCAACACAAGCAAACCGCTCGAGACATTCTCGCAATCTGGGTCCCCTGGGGTACGCAAACCAGCGCCTCGCACGAGACATCTTCCAAGTCTGCTTCGAACGTAGAGGGTGTTGGGTCAGGGCACACGCAAGCAGCTCGAGGCATCCCCGCAATCTGGGCGCGAACGGAGACCGTGCAACAACCCTGTCGCCGGCCCCTCAGGAGTGCTAAAACAAGCAAGCCGCTCGAGACATCCTCAGAATCTGCTCTGAGCGCACACGAGTCTGACAACCAACACAAACAAACCGCTCGAGACATCCTCGCAATCTGGGCACCCTGGAGTGCGACAGCCAGCGCCTCGCATGAGCCATCCTCTAAACCTGCTCCGAAAACGAAAAATGCTGAGCATGCGCAAACAGGCAAACCGCCTGAGACATCCCCGCAATCTGGGCGCGAACGGAGGCCGTGCAATACCCCTGGCGGCCCCGCCCTAGGAGGCGCCTTGCACGAGATATCCTCAAAGTCTGCTCCGAAAGCGAAAGATGTTGAACATGCAAACAAGCAAACCGCCTGAGACATCCGCGCAATCTGGGCGCGAACGGAGGCCGTGCAATACCCCCTGGCGCCCCCCCTTCGGAGTGCTAAAACCAGCAGGCCGGTCGAGACATCCTCATCATCTGCTCATCATCTGCTCATCATCTGCTCATCATCTGCTCATCATCATCATCATCATCATCATCATCATCATCATCATCATCATCAGCATCAGCATCAGCATCAGCATCAGCATCAGCATCAGCATCATCATCATCATCATCATCATCATCATCTGCTCATCATCATCTGCTCATCATCATCATCACCATCATCATCATTATCATCATCGTCATCATCATCCTCATCATCATACTCATCCATCTTTCACCAGCATCATCGTGCTCACATCATACTCTCACCACAATCATCAACATTGTCGAGTGGAGTGCAGAGAGGGAGGAGGGGAGGGGAGGGGTCCGGCGCGGACACAGTAATAACAAGAACCCCACCCTTTGGACATCGGGAGCAACGACCCAACATCACAGGATGGTTGGGACATGAACATCATAAGCAATACTCATCCACAGAAGACGTCGAATTAGCCTGGCGACGAACCCACCTATAAGATGTTGCGAATTACACGAGGTACGACCTGACCTTACCCCGAAACTAGCGCGCCGCGAAAAAGATGAAACCCGGGGCTGGTTGGCGGACTGGCTGGCTGGCTGGCTCAGCGCGGATAAGAGCCGCGAAACGTGTGAGGGGCGTGCCAAAATGGGCGCGATGCCGCCATGCGAGCACTGCCATTTGGGCCTTCTGTGGGGGCTCCCTGGGGCCACTAGGCGACTGAGGAATATGCCAGAATGGGCGCGGTGCTGCCATGCGAGCCATGCCATTCGGGTCTTCGGTGGAGCTCCCTATCCACGAACCGCGGAAATGGGCGCGGTGCCGCCATGTGCGCTTTCGACGAAGCTCCATGTGGGGCCACGACACCTGTGAAGGGTGTGCCGACATGTGTGCGGTGCCGCCATTCGAACTTTGCCATTCGTGCCTTCGACGGAGATGCGTAGGGGGCCACGACACCTGTGACGGGTGTGCCGACATGGGTGCGGTGCCGCCATGGGAACCCTGCTATTTGTGCCTTCGACGGAGCTCCCTGCGGGGCCACGGAATGTGTGAGGGGTGTGCCAACATGGACATGCGGAGGGCAGGGGCACGGATGGGACAGGAGGGAAGTGAGGAAGGAAGGACGCGGGGCGATGCGAAGACATGAGGCCCCTTGCGCCCCAAGCGGGGAGGAGGAGGAGGGGGAGGAGGGGGAGGAGGAGGAGGAGGCGGAGGAGGAGGGGGAGGAGGAGGAGGAGGATGAGGAGGAGGACCGGTCGGACCAGTGGAAACCCAAGAGTCATCAACGATGTTGGAATTAACCCTCCCTCCAAGCTCTCTCTTCATAGGCCCCTACAACGGTTCATGTCCATTGAGGGAACTGCCTCGTTGGAAGACAACAGTTTGAAGATCATGAAGCGTGCCAAAACAATGTTCTCGAATTTCCAGCGCCACGTATCAACCTGACCGCTGCGTCTTGACGATCCAGAATCGCGCCGGAACGCCATTCTTGGGACTCCAACACAGCGACTCAACGTAACTGTTGCGCCCGCGTAATCCTGAATCCTTCCAGAACGCATTTGTTGGTGCGTTGATCGTGGGAATCCTTGAAACTCTTGCAAGCTTTTTAAAAAGAGAATGCGCGCGGCGCTAAGGCGAGAACCACATTTTGAAAAGGAGCCGCCGTCAATCCAAGAACTCCTGCAAATTCGAAAACGAATGCACGCGGCGCTAAGGCGAGAGCCACATGTTGAAAACTACCCGTCCTCAATCCGTGAAACGTTTGTAACTGTGTAAAACGAATGTGCGCGGCGCTAAGGCGAATACCACATCTTGAAAACGACCCGCCCTCAATCCGTGAAGCTCTTGCAAATGTCTAAACCGAATGCGCGCGGCGCTAAGGCGAGAACCAGATTTTGAAAACGACCCGCCCTCCATCTGCGAAACTGCTGTCACTTTCCAAGCTTCAGAATCACAAGTGGTGAGGAGGTCTCAGGCGAAACGCCCGGCCCGCCCTAAAAACTGGCCTCGGGGTGCTGCCGGGAGGAGTTATCTTCAAGGAGAAGGAATGGAGGAGGAGGAGAATGAGGAGGAGGAGGAGGAGGAGGAGGAGGAGGAGGAGGAGGAGGAGGAGGGAGGAGGTCCGTAGCCATTTTGGCTCAAGCCATTTTGGCTCAAATCATGCGCCCCAACGTCTTGGCTCTATGTGCTAGCTCATGGTGCCGGCTGCCGGGTGCACGATGGCTGCGGGAGGCCCCCCAGTGCGCGCTGGAGGTGGGCCAGGGTGCGGCAAGGCATGGGCTCGACGCTCAGCTGCCGCTTTGTCTCGGCGTCTTCGCAGAGAACGTGCCCGAAATCTTCTTAGTGCATCTGCTGTTCAGTGTGCTGATGAAGCGATTGGATTCCTTGACCCGCCTGTGGAGTTGCGCGAAGAACTCACAGTGAGGTCGAGGCAGTTGGGAGAGGCACTTTGAGTACACTGGCGACTGGATACACAGCTCGGCTCACATTCACACAGATTTGGTGATGCAATTCGGGCCATGGAGGGCCTCCTTTCGATCCAGCCTGCGACGTCGGCCAACTGGCGTGCCATCAAGGTCGCGGCCGACAAGGCTCGACATGAGCCGTTGGCAGCAGCTGACAAGGTGACTGGAGAATCCAACCAGAACGTCGTGGTGGAGGAGTTCGTCCCCGTCGTGCGCAACCTGTTGCACTCAGTCATTACTGTGCTGCCTGACTTTCCTGTAGGCGCTCCAAGGGCGGAGGCCTTGGAGGCAGTCCTCTCCCAGCGTGTGCAGCTTGACAGTGCAGGACAGCAGAGCGACGGCCACGTACAAGCCGTAGCGCTCCTCGAGGACACGGACGGCGACGGGGCGAGATGTGCTGCCAGCGCCGAGGCGCGGCCGCTGCCGCTGCTGTCCGAAGCGGCCGCGGCTTGCACCGCCTCCTGGCCTGTGGCATCACTGCGGGCTGAGGCGGATGAGTTTGTCCCTGCCGCAGTTGCGGATGCACCTGAGCTCCGCCAACATCCTCAGCGCCCCGCTGCGCTTGGAGGCCCAGGCGCAAGGTTGAGGGTGGCAGAGTTCATACCTGGGTCAGGACATTGGTTTCCGCCTGGCTCGCTCTCGACATCAGAGGGCCTCAGATGTTCGTGCGGCGCAGTGGTCTTCTCCTCGGTGCCAGTGGGCGCCGTCTGCGCCGAGCACCACTCTGTGCAGACACTCAGGTATATGCGATTCATCGAACAGCAATATTCTGTGCGTTCTGATACCAGATCAAGTCGCCCATTTATTCGCAAGCGTTCTCGCTTGGATTATATCCGAGACATTTCCCTTCAGTACACTGTTGTGAACACAACCCAGTCGATCAGGCCTTTCATTCGCAAGAGCAAGAGAGATCGGTGGGATGCAAGTCTGCAGGGGCGCGATAAAGGTACGGGCCGAATTGGAATCGCACCGCCCAAGGACGACGTGAAATGCCCACAGCAGTGAGTTTGACTTGAGCGTTCTGTAACTTGTGTCAGGCTTCATTGTATGTCCTTTATGTTGCCGAAGGCCTGCGCGACTGTCTGCGTGACAGGTGCAGACAGCGACACAAGGAAGCGAGAAGGCCCAGCAGCAGGGAGAGACCCTAAGAGGCACCAGGGCTTCTCGTCCCCTCGCCCCTCTCTCCTCATTTTCCCTCCCTATTCCACCCCACCTCCTTGGCAGTCTTGGTCTCGCAGCGACTGCATTCGCCAGCAGTTGCTGTTAGATGGGAGGGATTCTATCATAGCTGGATCGTCCCAGCCCGTTGGAGGTGGTGGAGTTAACAACGACGATCTAGGATGGGAGAGCCCATGAGCCCCATCCTACTCCACGTTCTCCCTGCAGCAGGGAGCCTAGAGCTGGGAAGTTCCAGCATGCTGGAGTGGTGGAGAGGGAGAGAGCAGCTGTGGGGGGGGAGAGAGCGAGCGTCGCCCGTCCCGCTTCATCGTGCCACTGAAGTTCGGCACGCTTGTGGCGGTGGACGCGCAGGCGCGGGCGCGTCCGTGGCGCCAGGAGCGGGAGGACGAGTCTCCTCGCTCCCTCATTCTTTGGTGTAGGGTGAGCTAGCTCGACCTGCACCTCTTGCCAGAAATCCAGAAATCCAGAGGAGGGAGGAGGAGGAGGACGGCGGAGAGGAGGGAGGAGGACGAGGTTTTGCCCGGAATAATACAAATGAGGTGTAAGATGCGGGGGAGGGAGAAGGAGGCGGAAGGGGGGCAACTGGGTGAAAATCGATTCGCCTTCACTCACCTGAAGATGAAGGGTGAGCTGCCCTCGTAGACGGATGCCAACTGCACACCCGCACCGAACCCAACCAATCACATCCAAGGCCAGGGATCGGCGTGTAAGCTATCCCTCCTATCCAGGCCCAGAGACCAGGAGGGTGCAAACACCACTGCTGAACGATGGATCGCCCTGGTCAGGACAGGCGCAGGTGTATAGCCGGCTCCCCTCGACCTTGTGAGCCACCCTGAAGCTGCCGAAGTGGTGGGCGGCCCCGACGCAGTCGCTGAGGCAGACCGAGCCGTGAGACCAACCCGCTGGCACGAAGAGGAGGTCTCCGGCCTCCTGCACCCACGGCGGTCGCGCCCCTCTTGGGGGGCAGGTGGGGGGCCAGCAGAAAAATCAATCTTCAAGCAGGGTACGGCCAGCCCGCCTCCCTCCAAACAAAAACGCACCACATAGCTGTAATCAGCATCGCTTTGAGGGTGTGCTGGCAACGCTCCTGACCTGGAGGGAGACAATTCGCTGTCCGCCACCGTGCCTGCAGCACGCTGAGGCGTGGAAGAATGCCAAGGGCTGCCTGGCAGCTTTCTGTAGTCTTCTAAGGGACCACCCACTCTTCCTTCAGCGTTTTGCTGCCTGCACCGCCCCTACTCCCGGGGTCCCTGGGCGGCCATTGCGCCTCCCTGAGGCTCTCAAAAGTTTCCACGACGGCCCAGGAAGTCCACCCAGACCGCCCAAGAGACCTCCAAGACAGCCCAAGATCGCTCCGAGATGCTCGAGATGGCCCTAAGACGGCAAAGGAGGCTCCAAAGAAGCCCCGAGAGCGCTCCAAGAGGACCCCCCAAAGGGCCCCAAGAAACACAAATCATTGATGATCATTGTGTTTTCGATGTTTTTCGTGCATCGCCTTTTCGAACTTCCGACGTTCCAAGACGGCCCCAGGGGACCCCATGACCGCCCCAAGACGGCCCAAGAGGCACCCAAGAGGGACTCCAAACGGCCCAAGAAGCGCCCAACACAGCCCAAGAGAGCCCCAAAACGGTCCCAAGAGGGGCCAGAGAGGGGAAACACGAATCGACAATTCCAGCCTTCCGCCCGAAGAGGCCCCAGGAGGCCACAAGGGGCCTCCAAGAAATCCTCAGAGGCCTCCAAAAGGCCCCCAGACGGCCCCAAAGAGGCCTGAAAACTGCCTCCAACAGGCCCCCGAAAGGCCTCCCACGATATCCCAACGAACCTCCAAGAGACCTATGACACACAACCCAAGCACGGTGGCGGGACTTGCCGTAGGCAGCTGGATCCGCCGCCCCCTGCTTGCAGGGGTGCACGGCGTGCTGGACGTTTCAGGTTTTGGTTTTGGTTCTTTTTCCAAAAGAACTCCCCCAGTGGGCTCCGGCACGTCCCGCCGGGGTCCCGGGAGGAAGCCGAAAGGACCTCAATCCGGAAAAAAATCCTCCAAAAAACGGCCGTTTCGCTCGGGACATCCTCAAAAAATCGCGAAGATGGCCCAAGATGGCCTCCAAGTCCGCCCGAGATGGTCCAAGACGGCCTCCAAAACGGCCCAAGAGAGTCCAAGACGGCCCAAGACGGCCCAAGAGGCCCCCCAGAGGCCTCCCAGACGGCCCAAGAGGCCTCCAAGAGGTCCTCCAGGAGAGTCCGAAGAGGCCAAAATCATTGATTTTTCCTTGGTTTTTGAAGGATTCTGGCATTTGCGCCTTTTCGGCTCTCCGACGGCTCGAGACGGCCCAAGAAGCCCCCCCTGCTTGCAGGGGTGCACGGCGTGCTGGACGTTTCAGGTTTTGGTTTTGGTTCTTTTTCTAAAAGAACTCCCCAGTGGGCTTCGGCCCGTCCCGCCGACCACCCGTAATTTTCCCAAAATCCGTCTGTCAATGCCTTTGTTGCCCCAACTTGGCCCAAGATGGCCTCCAAGACGGCCAAGATGGCCCAAGATGGCCTCCAAGATGCCTCCCAGACGGCCAAGATGGCCTCCAAGACGGGTAAGATGGCTCCAAGATGCCTCCAAGACGGCCCAAGATGCCCTCCAAGACGGCCAAGATGGCCCCAAGATGCCTCCAAGATGGCCCAAGAGGCCTCCAAGACGTTCTCCAGGAGAGCCCGAAGAGGCCAAAATCATTGGTTTTCCTTAGGTTTTTGAAGGTTTTTTGCGTTTTCTTCTTTTCGGCCTTCCGACGGCCCAAGAGGCCCCCAAGATCGCCCAAGAGGCCTCCAAGAAGGCCCTATGACGGCCCAAGGGCCCCCCAAGACGGCCCCAAGAGCGCCCCAAGACGGCCCAAGAGGCCTCCAAGACGCCCAACATGGCCTCCAAGACGGCCCTGAAGCGCCCCAAGAGGGCCCCAAGACGGCCCAGAGAGGCCCCCAAGACGGCTCCAGACGGCGTCAGACGGACCAGGAACGCCCTAAGACGGCCAAAGAGACCCCCAGGAAGCCCCCAAAGGCCCCCAAGAGGCCCAAGGAGGCCCCCAAGATGCCTCCAAGAGGCCTCGAAGAGGCCCCCAAGAAGCCCCCAACAGACCCCAAGGGTGCCCCAAGAGACTCCTAACAACCCTCATCCTCCTACTCTATTTCTTCCTCTTCCTCTTCCTGTTCATAATCATTCTCTCCCATGTGTTCCCCGAAAGCTTTCCAAACCGACTCGGGGAACTCATGGTCCGATAGCTTGGCCAAGCTCTAGTCCAACTTTCGGCCACATCGGCGTTTCCAAAAAGGCAGGGGGCGGCGGTGATTCGCCGTAGGCGTCTTCGATCCGCCGCCCCCTGTCGATTCATCGCAAGGTCTTTTCCCCACGAGCCAACGCAGTGATGGTGATTATCCCGGCAAAGCAACCTAACAGCGATGTGTAGAAGCATATCTGAAAGCATTCCCCTTAAGATTCAGATGAGAATCCAGTTGTAGAGTTCTGCTGTTCTCGCAGTCGCAGTCGCATTCGCGATGACAGTCGCAGTGGCAGCGGCAGTCGCAGTCACAGCCTCAGCCTGCCTCAGTATCAGCCTGCCTCAGCCTCAGCCTCAGCCTGCCTCAGCCTCAGCCTCAGCCTGCTTCAGCCTCAGCCTCAGTCTGCCTTCAGCCTCAGCCTCTGTGCCTCAGCCTGCCTCAGCATCAGCCTGCATCCGCCTCAGCCTCAGCCTCAGCCTCAGCCTGCCTCAGCATCAGCCTGCCTCAGCGTCTGCCTCAGCCTGCCTCAGCCTCAGTCTGCCTTCAGCCTCAGCCTCAGCCTCAGCCTGCCTCAGCATCAGCCTGCCTGCCTCAGCCTCAGCCTCAGCCTGCCTCAGCCTCAGCCTGCCTCAGCGTCTGCCTCAGCCTGCCTTCAGCCTCGGCCTCAGCCTCAGCCTGCCTCAGCCTCATCAGCCTCAGCCTGCCTGCCTCAGCCTCAGCCTCAGCATCAGCATCACCATTCTCAGCCTCTGCATCAGCATCAAAATGCGGCCCGGGAATGGAGTTCTGGGAACTCGAAGAGCACGAAGTGGCCTACAGTTGGCTCCGGGCATTCAAAATGTGGCCCAGGAGTGGAGTTCTGGGCACTCGAAGAGCACGAAGTGGCCTACTGTTGGCTCCGGGCATTCAAAATGTGGCCCGGGAATGGAGTTCTGGGAAATCGAAGAGCACGAAGTGGCCTACAGTTGGCTCCGGGCATTCAAAATGTTGCCCGGGAATGGAGTTCTGGGAACTCGAAGAGCACGAAGTGGCCTACAGTTGGCTCCGGGCATCCAAAATGTGGCCCGGGGATGGAGTTCTGGGAAGTCGAAGAGTACGAAGTGGCGTACAGTTGGCTCCGGGCATTCAGAATGTGGCCTGGGAATGGAGTTCTGGGAACTCGAAGAGCACGAAGTGTGTGACTGTATGCAAAAAACGATCCCCCCCAGAAAACCCCAACGGCCCCCCAACAGCTGCCCAGACCCCCCTGTGGAGTAATGTGCTGCTCTCTTTTTACACCACTAGAAACCTATCAGCAAAAGCTGTTAGGTAAAAATTGCAAGCTTGCCCACTGAGGGAAAGGGGGCTCTACCCTGCGATGCGCAAGCCACGGAGGAAAAGTAGAAAACGAGGGAGGAGGAACAAGAATGGGGAGGAGAAGGAGAGGGCCGGAGTCCGTTCCTGTGTCGGCGCGCGCACAACGCCATTGACAATTCCACCGCCTCGCACACACATGCAAAACTAAAGGAACAGAAACGAACGACAGCAGGAAGGACCGTGCACCGAAAGGCACACAGCCGACTAGAGGAGCGGGCGGGGCAGAAGCCGGGAGGAGGGAGGAGCGGGAAGAAAAGCAGCTACCCTGTAAAAACAAAGCGTCGAATCAAGACGCGAGTGAACTGGGCGAGAATCGCGCGCCAGAGATAAAGCACTAAGAAATCGAATCTAAACGGGCGCGGCAGGCCGCAAGGTGGCATGCCGGCGACGGCGGCAGCGCGGGTCAGCAGCGGCCCCCTACGGGAGCAACGCGCAGGACCGGGCGGCTAACGGCACACCAACCGCACCTGCATGCACTGGGCGCCCCATGTGCCAATTGAGAATGCGAAGGAGGAAAATTACCCTGTGACGTACCCAACCCATTTGTATCAATGGAAACGAGGAGTTGGCCGAAACTTGTATGGACAATCAACTTGATGTGTAAGCTACTTGGGAGGCGTCACTGTGTTGGGCCCCGCAAGCAGGCCTCGAAAGTGGCGACAGTTTCACTGATCGCAGCCCCCCAGGGATGGCGAGGTCCCATTTGAGTCCGCGGTGAGTACCCACTGTGCTGGGCCCCCCAGCAGGCCTCGAAAGTGGCGACAGTTTCACTGATCGCAGCCCCCCAGGGATGGCGAGGTCCCATTTGCGTCCGCCGTGGGTACCCACTGTGCTGGGCCCCCCAGCAGGCCTCGAAAATGGCGACAGTTTCACAGATCGCACCCCCCCAGAGGTGGCGAGGTCCAATTTCAATCCGCCGTGGGTACCCACTGCGCTGGGCCCCCCCCAGCAAGCCGCGAAAGTGGCGACAGTTTCACTGATCGCAGCCCCCCAGGGACGGCGAGGTCCAATTTCAATCCGCCGTGGCTACCCACTGCGCTGGGCCCCCCAGCAGGCCTCGAAAGTGGCGACAGTTTCACTGATCGCAGCCCCCCAGGGATGGCGAGGTCAAATTTCAATCCGCCGTGTGTACCCACTGTGCTGGGCCCCCCAGCAGGCCTCGAAAGCGGCGACTGTTTCACAGATCGCAGCCCCCCAGGGATGGCGAGGTCTAATGTCAATCCGCGGTGTGTACCCACTGTGCTGGGCCCCCCCAGCAAGCATCGAAAATGGCGACAGTTTCACAAATCGCAGCCCCCCAGGGATGGCGAGGTCTA